ATAAACATAATTATAGAAACTTAAACTTAAGGCGTCATAATTTATTCATTTTTTATATACAATATGAACAATCTTATGATATTATATTTAGAAATTATTGAATTATAGAAATCCTAATGAAAATCTAGAATAACAATAAATAAGGAATTCAATAAAATGACGATATCACATCTAATTTAATAAAGATATATGGATAAGTTTATCTATGCCCTCTAGATAAGAAAAAGTATGAAATTTGATTAATCTCAGATTATAGGCCTGGGTTTTTTTTTATGAAATTAATGATAACAAGACTGAGGGGTTAGATTCTTCATTGGATTTTTATTAATAAATAGCATACGTTTGCAAAATAGCAATCTTGATGGATAGAAACAATTAAAACTTTAAGATTGTTTTCTAAAATCAATTTAAATCAAGTAGAGCTATGAAAGATTATATCTTCACATTGTTGCTTTAGTTACTTTTTCCCCCATTACTCTTAAAGATTCTCTTCGGTATTAAATATTAGTATATCATAATCAACAATAAGCATGTTGTTATGGAACTTTAAGCTATAAAAATAAAGTAAAATAATATTTTTAAGCAATTGTTAAAGAAGCATAAACAATTGGAGTAGAGAGATCATTGACAAGAAGTGCTAAAATCAGGCTAACAAATCAGATGAGATGTAGCTACAAAAGATGGATTATAAAGAGAACTCTTATGTAGATATACAATATATAAATATCTTTATCTAAAGTAAGAGTATTAATGCTGCTATCAATAGTGTAGCCATTAATGTAAATAAAAAAATTATTTCATTAGGACTTAGATAAATCCCCCTTGTATCTTTTAGACTTTGAGAATATTGGTATTCAAAATTATGGATTAATATTTAAATGGCAAAGATATTTTGGTAATGATTATTAGTCTGAAGATGTGAAGAATCAATTAAAGCTTCATTAATATTAGATGGCATAGAAAACATGTTCTAAGATATTCAAATTTATTATCTAATTAATATTAATAGAGAATCAGATAACTTTTATTTATGCTTTTAGAACAGCTC